TGTTGATGATGCTGGCATCAAGGTTATGACTCCAGTCAGGCCTCGATGCCAGTGCTGGTTATTGGATTTGCACACAATCTGACTTTGTTTTTGTTTTGTTTTTTCAGAGAGAATCAGTTTTGCGTGCTTTGAAACAGATAACATCTCAGAGCAAATCCAATAAAAAGGCCTCTGATTTTTACAATACGTCAGGTATCATAATATAATCGAGGAATCTGTTGCTTTCAGTGTAGCGTTGATGTGAAAAAAACCTTTTCATCTTTGGTCACGTCGGGCAGCCTTGATTTCATTTCATCTTGTAGTCTTCGGGTCTGTGGAGGAAACACAAGACAACACATTAGTATGGGGAGGCATATAAGTCTGGAAAAAGAACCGATTATAAGAAAAAACATGGAGAGAAGGATGACAGATGAGAAACCAGAAAGATCTTATCATTTTTTCTTCTGTTCAAAATGAGACCAGACACAGCGTCCTACGTTTTGTGTTTTTTCCCCCTTTAATTTTGAGCAGAGATGGCAGCAGACAGATATTATCAGGGTTTGCTGTATTGGTTTTGATACAAAGTACAAAAAACCTTATCATCAATTGTAATAGCTCTGCTATCAACTACAGCAGTATGTTTATGTTGTTGATTTTCTGTCTGAGCACTGTGTGTGTGTGTGTGTGTGTGTTTGAGGAGGAAGGAGCAGCATATCCAGTAATAATCTTTTGCCTCTGCTCTAAGGTTTTCTGAGAGAATATTAACTATGTGTTTAATAAAGGGCAACGATTGAATTGCCCTCAATGACCTCAACCCCATCTCCCCTGACATTCACACACACACAGACACACAGAGATTTGATCAGTAAAAATGAATAAGAGTGTGAGTGAATATTAACTAGGCTAAGGCCCATCTCTTAAATAAACCAGGATTAGCTTGACCTTGGTGACCACACAGCGACAGGCCTGAGCACACACACTGATTGGCTGAGGAGATTGGACCAGTAAACAATAAGAAGTGGCTCATTTATCATTATGTGTACACACACTCTGACAGCATTGCTGAATGTAATACAGACATGTTCTACGCCTCTGTATGAGGTGCACACACAGAGGACAGTACAGTAACTAAATGGATCGCAGCCCTCTGTGTAGAGTCACTTTTTTCAAATGTAAGTTATGTTATGTTCAAATGTGTCTGAAGTACCAGATGGAGAATTTACCACATCAGAACAATTGAAATGCTTTCAGGATTGTAGTAAAGTACTGTTTGTAGGTATAAAGAGTCAGTCCACCCAAATACAACAAAACATTATCTCAATTGCCTCTTGGGGTAACTAGTCATGCAGATTTGGTTTTAGTTGCCCGGGCTTTTAGAG